AGGTAAGCAGGTGATGGTATCTAGCTCGTGGGAGGCGTTAATTGGTGGAGTGTTGTATTGTGGCTTGGGGGTTTCTCACCAAGAATATATATATTCATGCAAGTTGAAGCAATAATTAATGATGATTGTATTTTATTTATTAAAAGCTTTTCATCAGAATCTTTTTGTATTGCAATTTCAATCAATAAAATAACCTGTCTTGATTCAAAATAATTTAAAAATATTTTCTAAGTTACAGTTTTATCATGCATTTTGAATGTTGTCATGATTTGTAATCTTTGCAGGATTTTCATGCCCACACATACAGAGCTTTTTCTGTTTTTACAAACTGAGCAGTGCCAAAATTACACAATATTTTACAACTACCAACTGAAATCATTCTGATTCAAAACTTAGTGAAACTTTTTTGTTTTCTAACTTTTCATTGGGCTTTCATTTTTGGACAGAATTGGACTTGATTTAATTTGATCTTTTCTGAAGGTTTTTGCCTAATCATTTGCTAGAGACATTTTGAGTGAATGAAGAATAATATTTTAAGGAGCAATTTATATACTTGGTTTGATCACATGCTTAAAAGGTAATTATATCTGTAGATTAATGAGTAAAGGCAATTTAAAATGATACCACTATTGTACAGACCTTGCATAATTAACAATTACTTCCCATAGCAAACAGTCCAAATAAAAATACAGCAATCTGTGTGCACAGAAAGACACGACATCCTTCCATAATACACTGATATGTTAATAATTAATCCATTTATGTCTATCAGACAATATATAGTCAACTTTTTTTCTTTGTTTGAAGACAAATATTCAATAATAATTGATGTGTGTAATAGATATTGACAAACTTTTGGTATAGAAATTGGATTGAGCATGCAGATTAGCTTATGCTTGTATTATGCATGCTTAGTCGGGAGAATATGAATAAGCATAGAGATATGGCGATTTGATTGATTTATGGCAAAAGTTTGGAAATCAAGTGTATAATGATACTGTTTGTCATCTTCAACATGGCAGATGATGGACAGCTGATAAATGAAGGTGACATATTTTCTTCCATTTTTACAGTTGAGTTATATACTTTATTTAGCTCTGTTCCTTCTTCTGTGGGTGATACCACCTTTTCTTATTTTGCATATTTTCTCCCATCATGTTTATTACATCATGGCTTCTCTTGCATCTTACCACCAATGTTTGTGGTATGAGATCTTGTAGGTGGAGAAGTTTTACCTCCCATGTCGTTTGTTTCTCTCTTATTGCCATTTTCTTCTTCATGATAGCTCTGATGGTCTCACATCCACCTTATTCACTATATATATTTATGAAGGTGATGGTACCCATGGAGTGGCCATTGTTGCCTCATGGAGAATCCTTATCCAGAATCTATTGAGTAGATGACTATGGAAAAATTTTTAGCCCATCCATCTGTACTCAGTGCTCACTGATGAGATGGGGTTTTCTGCAAGACTGCTTTGGTGGTGTCTATATATTTTATCTTTCAGGTCATTCTCACTTGTGGGAAGAAAATGACATCACCAGGTTTGTACCTCCCTCCACACTTGGCTAGCTTCTGCATCATTAGGCACAATCATCTGTTAATAGGTCCCACAATAAGAGACACTGCAATTGGTTACTGCAACTAAAGACAATGGTCCAAGTACCCCTCTGATGATATCTCCTATTAAAATTCCTCCCCATTTTTTTCTATTTAATTAGATTTGTTCCCAATTGGGCATGCCAATGACTGATGCCTTTGCTACTGCTTTCAATATCAAACTCGTCATCTTCAGGTCCATGGTTCCTCACTCATTAGCTCTGACTGTGGATGCTCTCAGACTGGACATGTCTCTTCTTTTCCTATATGTGTATTGTTCCTTCATATTCTCCCATGTGTCTTGGTGCTGATTTACAACATTCCTTGTTGGGTCCTGTTGGTAGCACCTTTTTGGCTGGTTTAGTTTCCTCTTCTTCACAGACTGGCATCCAAGGCACTTTTTTTTCCTCTGCCTCCATCATAGTCAATCTTTCTTCAACCTTGAATGTCTGTCTTTCACCTGGGAGTGTTGTTCCTTTGTCTTCACATATGGGATTTGTCTGTTTCCTTGCTCACTGGTCAGGTTTCTTTGACTACATGGTCCTTCTATTATCCCATTCATGTTACTTTTCTACCCTCTCTGTTTATCAACAAAAGTGGTGTGTTTTTTGCTATTGGTCCAGCTGCTGCTCTTCACCAATAGGCCATCTTACTGTTGCCAATCTTTTGGCCTTTTTACGTGTTTGTTCAATCAAGGATTGTTGGTTTCTACAACTTCAGACTATAGGTTGGTTAGCCTTGTTGATTACCTTTAACCTTTGTTCTATGATTCTATCTTATCCTCCCCTGTTCCAATTCTTTCTAATTCATTGCTCCTCTTGTTCGGTTCCTTTGCCTGACTGGAACCTTAATGTGGTTCTACATGCTCTTACCAAGGCCACATTTGAACCATTGGTCACTTACTCCTTGTACCATTGATTTCTTTAAATTTGTTTCCTTCTCATTTTTGCTAATGGTTGTTGCAGATCTAATCTTTATGCATTGAATGCCTCCTACACTTGATTTCACAGATCTTCCATGATTTTGTTTTCTGACCACTTGTTTTTACTTGGGTGGCATGGGAGAGAGTCTGAGTGGGTAGAACAATGACGTGGGAAGTAGGGCAGGAATGTCCATATCAGTGTAGTATAGGTCACTCCCTATTCTATAATATGACAATTTGTTTGGCCAACTGGATGGGTCAAAGCATTCTCATCACGTGACGGAAGGGATTTAGTCCCGGTTCTTGTATGTTAGGTGAGTAAATTGTACAATAGAACACATACTAAACCATGCAGTCTGATAACTTCCCTATCCACATTGCACCTTGTGCCTAACCAATCTTTTGTGTGCAAATAATTGGTTGGCCATGTCTTTTTCTGCCCATCCAAGTGACACTTAGACTCATCTTGCCTTCCTCCTTTGTAATTCTATCTTGGCAAAGAAATGGATGCTGTCTCTCGTAAGTGTTACCCAACTAGTAAGATCTCACTATAGGTGTCACACTCCATGGGCTTTCTCCAAAGGGAGTTCATCTAGGTTTTTGCAATTGCACCAGCCTCTACACTACATCAATATGGAATTCTAGCTTTTGTGTGCAGAGAGATAAGCATATTGTTGTGGAAGTTAACATTTTCCTTACCTGAAAATGCATTTCTGATAGATACCTCTCTGCACATCTTCCCATTTTACTTCCCCACTACCGGTGCACATTATTCTTGCCCCACCTCAGAGTGAACTTAATTTTGAGTACAGGTGTTTATGGGGATCTACTATGTGTGGAGAATGTGTTGTCTTCCTATTAGTGGAAGGCTACTATTGTAACATAATGATTGTCATGCACTAGTGCAGTTCACATTACAACACATCTTAGGTGGGAGATAGCTCAAAGCTAGTGGCAAAGTCTCAAAAGCAGGTGCATGAGGAATAGCTATTGTCTGTGGAGAGGTATCTATCACTGGAGATGTTTATACATATATCAAACATCACTTATTATCTCTTCTAGATACAATATTTAGTGAACAAACACTTTAAAATAACATAATATTAGGTAGAATTAAGCATTATCAAATTTATATAGAATCAGGGGGGATATTTTCCATTAAAAACAGACTTTTGACATGAGAGAACATATTAAAAACAAAAGAAAATTTATTCTGTCTATGCTGTCTTAGATATACATAAAATATGACTACATTTTCTGTAGGTCTCCTCTTTGTATAAACGTGCCCAGGTGTTTGATTCCACAGTTTTGTCACAGCCATCATCATCCTTAACAAAACAAGATACAGAGCCTTTGCATCTAAAAGTTGAAGAAGCTCAGAAGCAATTGAAGGAGGTAAGCTTTGTATATCTAGAAAAATGAATATATGTAAATGTTTCATTATCTACAATTATAGTGGTTATTCACTACTGACTGTATTTGATCAAGAAAGAAGTTATTCTTAAATTACATGTGATGTGTAAACATAACTGTGGTGTTTCAATGTGTAGTTGATATACACAATTTTAGAAATAATGTGTGGATCTTGTATATTAATTAACAACTATTTGCAGGGGACAAAATATCCTTTGGCATTTCAAACTGAATAATTACAGCACTTTCACTGTGTTGTGAGAGGTCTCAAAAATAGCATACAAGAGAAAGGAATGATTTGCAACTGGGAGTTGTTTTGGTTCGCAAATTGTGATGTGAACTCAATGAAGAAAAGTATTTCTAATCTTAACATGAAAATCGTTTTGCACTCAGACTGGTCAAAAAAAGACTCAATATATTCAAGGACAAATCTTAAGGAAAAATACTTCATTAAAAACTGATTTTGTGTACAAACAACTTGTAATGTTTACTAAACATCTGCCAAATTTTGTTGAGATATACATACTGCATTAAAAGTTACTATATGCAAGTAAAAACAGCCACGTGGTCGGTCCTTGGGACCGAGCTTGTATTGAGAAAGTTTGTAACCAGCTCAATGATAAATGTGCAGTGCATGTACTGTACATATGTACTCTAGTGAAGTTGGCTAGGCTGTGGGCACCGACCAGGCACATTCCAAACGTCATGAACAGACTACTACAAAGTGTATGTGTATGCAATATATGCCTGATGAAATGTAAAAATACTATGTGCTATTTGACGGGAAATTCCAAGAAACGAACATCAACTCAAAAGTTTCAAAGGTCATTTGCATAATCTCTGAAACCTCCTAAATACATTTCAAACATTTTTTTTTCAGTGAAACTTTATATTTCATTGTTATTATTTTCTCTATGCTAACTCTGTATAAAGTTGGTCAATTTGATCAACCTCGTAACCACAAAAAATGAAATAAATCTAAATTATCTTTTTTTCTTTCAAGAATGACTTCACATTTTAACATGAAACTACCTTTGTTTATCCTAAGTAACTTTAAAGTTGTAACAGTATACATCTATTTATACTTAAATTTTATTGTTTTATTGCCCTTTGAACCATGTCTAACTACTACTGCTAGAGTACTAGTATTAATTGCACCATTATAAGTTGTAAATCACTTGAGCCATTGGAAACGTATGGTTCACGTTACGCTATCGAGTTACATTACCCACGAGCTATTCCAAGTTGCTTGCTTGCATGCCTTGTGAAAAATTATTATATCATTATTATTATTTATTTTACCTAAACTAATATAAAGACTTTCATATTTTTATATCTTAGTTACTTTTATTGTAATAAATAAAGAATACACATGAAAAACAATGATGACACTTAACCCTATTTTTTTATATTAATGTAGTAGTGCACTGAATAATTTTTATTTAATTAAATAATGCACCAAAGAACATAGAATAATAACATGCAAAAAACAGACAATGTCCCATAACTATCACACTTTTTCTGGCTTTGTAGCTATGCCACGAGAGCTGTTACAAATTCATCTAAGCAAGTCAACATGTTTCTCGGAGAACAAAGCTTGTACCGAAAGAAAGATTAACATTTTTCTGTACAGAAAACAATGTAATATAGTACATCATTTGATAGTTGAAAACCCTGGTTTTTTATTGGTTAAAAATAATATAGTATTAAACATAAGAGAGATCTATTGACAAACCCTGAAAGAGAGGGTGTTACAGGTGGTTGTGGCAAGAAGGCTGATTTTCTATTTGATGGCTCTGTAACCTAACAAAATTGAAGGCTATGAAAATTATGTTTTATCTGAGCAATGACAATATTATAATAAGTAATTTATGTTAATTTTGTACTTCTTGGAGAGGTGATAAATATATTAGAGAGGAGATGATGCTTAGAGAAAAAAATATCACATTTCTCACACTAGGGGAAATTTAGGATCTTTTTTTAATATTGCCTTATAAAATTAAGAACTTAAAACTTATTTAGTATTAAAATAAGGATTATTAGATGTGTATGGAAAAATCAAAAATAATTTTATAATCCTAATTCCGTCAATAAATGCAATTGAAGTGAAAGAAGGCTGTTAGAATCTACTTCAAGTTGCTAATGTAACTCAGTATAAAGTGTGATTTTTTTTGTTTTCTTTATTACAAGCAACTTGGGATTAACATGTAGTGATAAGAGTTTCATTGGCAGTTTTCAGTGTATAATAGTTAAGAATAGTACATATTGTACATGTACTTTACCAGAATTATAATTTCTATACAATCTTCTGTGTACCATTTTTCAGTAAGTTGGCTACTGGTTTTCTGATCATCTTTTTGTATAATATTTTTTTTTAGATATACAAGAGAATAGAAATAGCTGAGGCAGGAAAACAACACCATGACATTTCAAACAATCAGCCCCTTGAAGTTTTAAGATCTAGAGCAGAAAGTCTTCAGGCTGAAGTTGACCAGCAAATAAAAAGATCACCTTCTGGTAAAAACAACAACCTTTTTTAAGCCATATGGTTGCTGTTTAATGTTTTTAGTTAGATAAGTAAGTCTAAATTAATGTCAAAGAGAGGAAACTTTAAAGTGGTTCAAATTTTTAAGTGTCTTTAAAGCTAAATAAACCTTTTCATCATTATTTTATCAGATAGGCCTTTTTACTTTGAGTTTTGCATTGTGTATTATTCTACTTTGTTTATATGGTGTAATAACCTCTGTACTTTATAGCTGTGATTATCTACAAAATCTGTGTATGTAGGATTTTTTGAGTTATTTCTTTAATAAAGTGAGCTTAATTTCCATCTTTGAAAAGTCAAATCAAAGTTGTTATTTGTCAGCAGGGTTTGAAGTGCCAGTTTTTGCATTGGAAAATATTTGATGTATTGGAGTAAGAAACTTATAATTATCTAAGATTGTCCAGAAGTAGTTTGTCATTTTTTTCAAAGATAAAAAGTCAATATGAAAAAACAACAACTGAAGATTCTAAAGTAATTCTCAGTGTGTTGACATTCTGATTAGTTACTGTACTGTACCTATATGTATGAAAATATAACATCTTTTGAGTTGAAAGTAGAACAACAAATGTTCTTAGCAATTAGGATTGTAAAATTATGTCTCTTATGCTTTGTTATTTAATTAAAATTCTATTAAGTTTCAATATTAAGGATTTCTTTGAGCAATGATTTAAACTTTGTTTTCAGTATGTGTCACTAAATATGAGGTAGTAAAGTATAAAAGTATAGAAATTTGGTTGACAAAGATGGTTTTAAAGATGTGAGAGGAATTTCTTGCATTAATATTTTTCTCAGTCTTTGATTTAAGTGATTATATTGTTTTTAAAAATCTTCTATTGTAGTTTATATGACTAACATTCACTATTGTTTTTTCTATATTTATTAAAATTAGTGTTCTTGACACAGCACTTGATAACATAGCATCCCCATTTATCAAACAACATCAGGTTAATTACTTTTGACTTTTTAAACTACAGGCTGTAAACAAGAAGTCAATTTCTAGCTTACATCAGGTTTTGTTAGTTAAATCAGTACTGTGACATTACTGGAATACATTAAGTAGTCTTACATGCTATAACTTCTGGTAAAACAGGACATTTTGTAAGCACATCTAAACTGAGTTTTTCTAACAACTTTTTTCATGTGTAAAATATTTTATATTGCATCTTTGTGCAAAGAAGTTGGATTTAATTTAAAACACATAAATCTTCAGGTAAGGATGTATATGAACAATTCAATACACACAAAGGCAGAATCGTACAGAAACACTGTACACTTTTACCAGACTTGTTTGCAATCTTTAAAATCCAGACATAATACTTAAATTATTTTGAACTCCAAAATGCACAAAACATAATACCAAAATACATAGAAGGACAGGTTTATTTCTAGTGCTAGAAAAACTATTACTAAGGATTTTTCAATTCTAGTAGATCATGGTCTGAAATACATTCAAACACAGACTATATATTATCAAAGAAGTGGTATTAATGCATTCATTATTGTTGTTAATTCTCTTGAATGTGAATCTAAAACAGTAGAAGCAGTTGATTTTAGTTATCATTACAAAAGTCTTCCTATTGATAGAATTAGCTTTTCATCTACAGTTTCAAGATCGTTCAACTATTTCGGTAAAATAATGCTTTATGTTAGTAAAAACAGATGTTTCTATGATAATGTTACTCATAAATATTACTATTTGTATAAGCTATGTATTTATTACTTGACAACACATTTGTACAGTTCAGTCAAAAAATCAAGAGATACCTAAAGGAGGTAACTTAAGCTCACAAGTTTCAGATTTATATTTATTCAAACTTGAATTTTGAAGCATTACAAACCTTAATAAAAAACGCTAGTAACATTGTGGTATCTTTAGGTTTGTTCACAGGGGACGACTTTACCAGTTTTGCATGTTACCTTTCAGGCTGGCCACTGCACCTTATGTTTTTTGTTGAGTGGTAAGGGCTTCTCCTTGACTGCTTCATACTCAGGGCTTGTGCTTTTATCATTATATTCATGATTCGCTCCATCAAAATATGTAACACACAAACACATATAGCCGCTTGTGAGAGAAGAAGCTTAAGTTAGTTGGATCATCAAGGTGGAGAAGTCCTTCTTTGTATCTACCCAATATCTCATCCAATTCAGAGTATTTTTAAACTCTTACCTCAGTCAGGCCCAATCTTTTCCCCCTCATCCACAGTCAACAGAGATCTTACCTCACCAACTTTCATTGTATGTGAGGTTCTTTCAGTTTTGTGAGGTGGGTTTTCATGGATGCACTTATTCCCTCAGATCATGATCACATGTACACCCTTCAGTGGATGCTGTACAATCAATGGAATCTTTCCATGTATCCCTTGGACTCCATTATTGAGCTTCCACCATCCCTTCTGGACATTTTAACATGGTGGCTACATAGAGACAACACCATGGAGGGTGTTCCTCATCTGCCTCCTCATCCCAAGTTGGACCTGTTCACAGATGATTCATTTGGGAGTTGGGGGACATGTTTGGAGCATCTGGAGGTTTCAGATTGTGACGTGTGCAATTTGACCTGCCTGCATGCTCAGGGTTAATCATGCATGCACCTATCTAATGCGCAATCAGTCATGTAGGCACATTCACATTCTCTTCCAGAACCTGGGAGTCATCAGTTTCCATTATTTCATGCTATTGCTGATATTTGTTTATCACTTGAAATATGAACTCAAAACTACTACATCAAACATTTATAATTCTGTGAAAAGCGAAGCTGAAATACCAGAGGAGGTGTTCAGTCAAAACTCCGAAGATGGAACATGTGATAACAGATATTATTCTCAACATATGATATACTATAAACCAGTACTGGTACTGACTGTAGAACCTGTTATACATATTACCTGTGACATCACTGCCCACATCTGCAGCAACATGCTACTGCATTAGTATTTGCAAATTGTAATTCAACATCTGTACTATACTGAACAAGCAAAAACCCTTTCACTTTGCACTACCTTCCTTCCTGACAAAATTCAATGTTTTAAACACATACATTGGTACACTTATGCACTTGACACACTTGTGAATTATATAGTTTAGCATGTTTACCAATTTTGTTTCAGATTAGATTAACATTAAATTTGTTTCTTAATATAGCTGAAATCTTAAAACGTCTAGTTGGGCAGTGACTTTTGTCATTTGAAAAGATTGATTTTTCTGACTATTTATTGAGAGAAAGAGTTAAAAATATGGTATCTTCTCAAAAATAAATTTTACTTCAGTCACTTCCAGTGTGCATACTGTATATCCCTAAAATGTCATCAATATGATAGACATATATTTGACACCACTTTACAGCAACTTGGTCTCAAGCAACAAAATCACATATTAAAGCTGGACAGGCAAATTATTATATATATACATTTTTTGTTCTACAAATTTGAGCTCTGAAAATTTTGTATAACAGTGTCTGGTTGATTGTTGGAATATAATGTTGTGAAGTTGTAAAAGCAAATATAAGTATTACAGAACCATGCAGAACTTCTGCCATTGAAGGTGTATGAAGGTTTTCAACCCTGTATGTGTTTGTCAACTAGGTTTCTCAAAAACTGCTCAATGGATTTGGACTAAAGTTGGTATACATTTGGACTATGACCCAACTTATAAATGGTTAAATTTTGGAGGGTCAAGGTCACAGTAAGGTCACTAAAATAAAATAAAATCCATGTGTTAACATAGGAACAAATTTTTCACACTATTTTGCTCTATAACTCAGTTTAAAAGGATTGGATTTTGATGAAACTTGTTGGACATATGTAGAATATTATTCCCTTTTTCCTGCCAAAAATGATCCATGTCTGTTGAGAGCGATAGACGTATGGACATAATTTGTATTTTTTGAGAGCCGAATATGATCAACACCTCGAGGGAAAGGTATGCACTCGAATGAGTGCCCCTCTAGTTTAATGAATCTAAGTTGTTACTTCAAATTCCAAATCCATGAAATGAGGTGGTGTTTCATTATAAGTAGAGTGTGAACAACTTATGACAAGTAAACATGAAAAGTTAATTCTTTTTTAAAATGTTAGTTGCATATATCATCAAGATCTCAAGTTGTTTGAGAATATTTTTGTTTTAATGCCAAATGAAAATAATATGTTGTTTTCAATATTATTACATTTATAGATGACAGTCAAACTGTTTATCTAACACAAGGGTTTTAGGTGTTTTTTGAATTTTATTTTGAACTTATAAAGGTTGTGTCAACTTATGAAGATATTGTTTGAATAAAATTGAAGTTAGGTCCATTCTGTTTTTTATCTACTAAGTGGCTGATATAAGGAAAAAGAAATACCCTTCTTATAAAATTAAAGATTATTTCTATTGTAATAAGTTAACATAAATTACTAAATATTAATAAATGATAAGCTCAAAATGTAAAAAGTGGATCATTTCAAGTGGCAAATATTTGTTTTCTTGACCACAATTTTTAGCCTAATAGTTTCAGACATAATATTCTTTGTTGGAGTTTAGTATTTAATTTTAATTATATTAATACTGTTAGTTTGATGGTCTTGTTCATGTAGTAATATTTATATAATGAGTATTAATATTTTCTTTAATAAAAGTGTCATGACAAAAGACTGTATAATATATGCATGTGGAAATATATTACTGATAGCAAAGTAGGATATGAAGTTTACATAATATTACCGTTGGTACCAAGCATTTTAAGCAGGGCAGAAAGAGATTTTTTGTTCTTTCAGCACACACTTATTGTTATGAACATTTGGGATCATATCCTTTCCGTCATTTTTTACTGTATATGACACCTCTGCTATTTTTCTTGCAAATGCTAATTAGCTCATTAAACTTTGAGTCACTTTTCAGCCAAAAGTGATAATAATGGGATTTCATAGGTAACATTTTCTGTATTCCATCTTCTAAGCTACCAATATGTTTTTATTCCTATGTATTTCAGATTTTAAATTTTATTATCTGATTTATGACCAAATATACATAATGCAAACCTTCAGAAAATGTAATTCCACACGTTTTGTAAACGTGAGAACCCACTATTCATACTCTTACTTAGGTTGAATCTTGTTTTAAAGAAATAGTATAACTATAATGAATGTTACAGTAAAATAATCTTTTAATAATTTTTTGACAGATTATTTTCCAGATTTTTACCATGTGTACATGAAGAGATGTGTACAAAAAAAAAATACAGGCAAACTTATTTTCCTCTGTTAATGTGGAAACAATAAGAAAAACTGTTGTTTTTAGAGCTATGCATTCTTAAATTAATATTGATGAGTATCATTGGTAGTGTTAAAGGTAATCTATACCTAACATCTGTAGGCCTAACAGTAATTAATGCTGAATTGTCTTGAGTGGAGACAATGTCTGATTGTTAGAAATATTTTATGATATTCTTATTTAGAGTAACATTAATTAAAATATTAATAGTATGTGGATTTGTGCCTCATTTTTTGTTTTCTCTTGTTATAATTTGTATATTCAAATTGTTCACTTCTTATGTATATATTTCTGTTGTAATTACAAATATTGTTTGTTTGTTTTGTACCTCTAGATTACTGATGATGGAATTTCGATGATTCCGAAACATTTAATAAATGCTTCCTACTATCATGTTCGTGTTTTGCTTTATCATTATGTGGATTTAATGCTCAAAGATATGTCTATTTAAATTGAATTGAGATTCTAGTTCATGCAGTTTTAAATTTTTTGGCGTATATATGTAATTCAAATCATTATATTTCATATATGGAAACTAGAAATGAGTAGAGAAAACCTTTGAAAAAGAGATATTTTAATTATTTCTTAAGAATGTATAAGATGGGTTTCATAAAGCAAAAGCTAAGATTCAGAATTTCACTTCCTTTATAGGGTTTTATACTCATCCTCCACTTTTGATGACCCTATTAAAAAAACACTTAGAAACAGAAATCAGTAGCCTTCACCAGACACTAGCCACCATCAGATCACAAAGATTGTCATGTGAGCAACATTTAAACAGGTAACTTTTCTTTTTCTGTGTTGAATATCTTGTTTATTTTATGGTTGATGTGAAAGAAATTTTGGTTTGACAATTGGAGAAGATACAAAATAAATCTTCCTATTATATCTTCTTTGAATTGTGCTTAAACTATATCAACAGCATCTTAAGCTAGTGATCTCAATGGTGGAAATGTATGCACTGGGTAGTTGTTAACTGCAACTAAGAGAAGTTAGAAGAAAATTTCACATTAAACATTGAGTCACATTTTAGGGTATTCTTATTTCATTTAAACATCCCATCCAACAAGAAGACTTTCTCAAATAATTTTATGTATATATATATAATACTGAATAATTCATAAACAGATAAACAAAACAACTTGTTGATTTTTTTTTAGGATTTTTCTATTCATTCCAAAGAGTAACTATTTTTGCTAAGAACCTATTATTCATTTCTTAATTTTAAAGCATTTCCCTTAGTTTTTACATAGGCCTTTGTTGCAGCCTTTTTATTATGCCATATCAAGTGGTTTGTTCATTTACTCATGAAACACAGCCTTGAAAACAGTTGTAAAGAAAGTTTAAATACGATTGGATATAGTAAGAATTAGATTATTATTTAACCCGATGACTACCAGTACTAACTTTCTTAGTAGGCAATGCAAGTGTGCATTTG